TCCAGACCCACCATTTGATATGTGTACGGCGCACGTATTCAGGGGATGCAGAATGGTTCGGAACAGTGTGGAACTGAGGCCTTAGTTTGGCTGAGGTTAGTTAAATTCAGCCAAAGCAAAGCACCAGACATTAAGTAGAGCCGACAGAGTTTCTCAGGGATGGGACCAGGCTTGAAGAACTAGGAACAATCGGGCTCGGTGCAAAAGCTTAAGGCCAGAGGAGGGATATGCAACCAGGTCAGTGGAGACGGGCATGAGATAAAGTGGCAGGTTATAGATAAGAACACCTAGGACGGTGGTTGTCGCACTTGCGGACTAATGCTGAGGGTTTCAGGCCGGTAAGTGTAGGTGCTATGACCTAATAACAGGACAGTCAGGGTGAGTGCGCAGATTGGAAGGGCTTAGGGCCTATTTCAGAAAGTGTCTAGTATAAGTTGAGGCGCGAAAAGGCGCTCAGCTCCCTCAATAGAAAGGTAAGAATCGATGGCATCTCGAAAGCCGACGTGAGATGAGATAGTACGGATATGAGAGGGGAGCTTGTTCCGCAGCTTTGAATAAAGGCAAAGGAAAAGGTTTGTCTAAAGACAGTTAGACATGTCGACAGCGAGAGTAAAAATCCTCAGTTACGGACATTATAGGAGCACAGGAAGAAAATTCTGGGTAGCAGTCGGCTATGTAGGCCCGCCGGTAGATTAAGCGATGCTGAAGACCTAGATTCAACCTGATGCGCCTTAGCCATAATGGATCCAGCCCAAGTGACAAGCAGCGAAGGCGATACGGTAGTGTGGATGACGCCGGAAACAGGGACTTACTAACCGAGCGTTGCACAACACCAAGTGAAGACTTTCGCCAAGGACAGGTTAGTGGCACAGATGCGAACTGCAGAGTTGACGTTCGGCTGCGACGTCATGTTTGGCCGCTTGTATATTAGTAAGTTCATCGGGGAGCGCTCATGTATCGTAAGACATTCCTGTATCTTTCATCACAAACACACTGCAACCAGCCGGCACATGTTTCACCGCATGGCCCGCTTGGACAGTGACGTGCAGGACGGTTTTGCTTATCATCAAACGAGTACACAGATTCTTGCGAGACTTACAGGTGTTAGGCCGCAGAAACTCGCAACTCGTCCCTCATCCTATGGCCCCCTATTTTTACATGCACAATCCGGGATGGTTCACTTCGATAACGTTACCAACAACCGCCTGCGAGTGCCAATGGTTGCATTGAAAACTGGGTGCACCCCTCCGACAAACTGGAGCACGCCGTACAATAGGTTTCCCGGCACTTCGAGTGGTTCATGGGGGGCTTATGTGCACATGTTGTATCGCTGAAGCTGACGAATAACCCTGAAGGGCGACGTGTATGTTTTGAACGCGGTCCGTCGAATGACTACATATGCATGTTCCCACGATTTGAAGCATTTGGGGCCGCGATCACCAAATTTGCATTACCACAGTGTTGGAACGAACAAGGTGAGATCAACCTACGCTAGGCAAGCAACCAGGTGCCACGAAAAAATGTGACACCTTGCTGGAGAATGCGCATGCTCCTTCCACCAAGCGATGCAGTTCCTCTGCATCCATTCAAAGATCAACCGTTTCCAAGCAGTAGGAACTATTCTTCATAATTTTTTCTTAAGCTGCTTCCCTATTCACCAACCGTGGTTCTTGGATTACAACCTACGAGAAAGGGTGCACCCCTTACACTTGTTCCCAAATCATCGCTGACAGCTTTGGACAGCCTGCGTAAAAAGCCGAACCGACTGGTAGATAAACTTTAGGGGCTGAAAGCTAGAAGGGCCACAATCATAATTGGGTGATGGATTGTTCAGGGGCGAATCTCGCTTCGTCAGTGATCAACTTCTGAAACTGATCGCCTGCTGCGGGTGGTCGAGGGCACTGCATGCGGTTTGACCAGCCCACCAGTACCAGCGGCCGCCGGTCTGCAACGGATCGCGTGTCATATTCCCTCGATTGCTTTGATAATCATTCTTGCCCGCTGTGCGGTGATGCTCTTTAGACTCGTCCCACATAAAAGTACTTTATTTTTGGCCCTGGGTCCCCGGCCCGTCCAGAAATCTCAAGCGTGTGCTGGCTAACCGGTCCGCAAAGAAAGCATCTTATGATGTTAACTCGGACCAAGGCACAGAATCCCAGCATCGTTTGTTCTGGAAGTCTGTGTGTATCCGTATTTTTGTGTTCAAGCGGGAACTACTAGACGGTCGTATGTACATGTCCAGCGCCAGTCAGATAAAAGAGACGAGTATGGTTTTGTGCGGTTCATCTGCTCTAGACAGTTCGTTTGTCAATGAGGACCCATGAGTTTTATTTAGGTCTAGTGTTTATTGAGGGTTATAGTCAGCAGACATGCGAAATATTCAGTAAAGATGGCTAGTGAAAACAGAAATTCACATTTTAGTTGCTTAAGTGTTCCTATTATATGGTAGGTATTGCCAGACGCTTGCCCTATAGTGATATTTCGATAACCTAACCTGCATCTTCCTTTCATTTAGTGGCGCCGATAGCTCAATGAACACTCCGCAAGAAGAAAGCCATACGCTCCCTGGCAAGACATGTAATAATAATAATAATAATAATAATAATAATAATAATAACAGGTGTATTTCCAAACTTGTAGGAGAACGCACTTCAGCCAGCCAATTAGACATCGTGGACTCCCAGCCGCATGTTATTCGTGTGCGTTCAGCTGTCCGGCATGATCAACGGTGTGGTCATCCTTGCTTATTTCGCAAGTATGCTGGAATACTATGCTGTTTAACAACCAACTTACGCGATTTTTCCGGCAATAATGAGTGCGCCTATCGCGGTTTTTACTCGCAAAAGCAATTCCCGAGCAAAAATCATACACAAGAGTGGCGGGTTCGCATATTTTGCACCACTGGGGGGCATGTAGTCAACTAATTATTTCAGCCGCAAAACTATCAGCAAGTTTCGTCGATTGTAAGTAATTCACCTTTTTCTGCAATTCGCGATGTCGTATTGCATTAGGCAACGCATTCAAGTTGTTGGTGTTTTATGACCTTGAAAATTCGCTCACCTAAACAAATCATTCGTGTAGATACTTTGCATGATTCACTTTACATGGACATCATACACTATGGTTTCGCGACCCTAAAATTGTCAGTTTTCGAGAAGTCGATTCCATTGTGCGATTGCTCTTCGGCCGGCCACTCCGAACTAAAGTTTGAAACCATTGTCGAGGCTTCGTGGTCTTGGACAGTTAAGGTTATGGCCATGGTCTTACAAAGCATAGATGGGGATGATTAGGTACAGGAATTTATGACAGGGATAAACGGTGGCCTGCATTTCGCAGTTACCGCCCACAGTGAAATTGTATAGACTCACTTGTGTGGATGGTTGAGCGGAACCAGATATGAAATTTCCTTAGGAAGGCGTATTAGTGCTAAAGCTTAGGATCAAACGCAAACGGTAGGGAAAATCACTTAATAAGTGGGGGAGGCCTAGAGTTCACCGCGAGCGATGAATGCGAGATGATGTTGAGTAGATTAGAGCGAACTCGCCAAGGAGGCGGTGTGAGTGTCTTTAGCAGTTCATTCGTACTTGAAGCAATGGCACCATTGCACTGACATACTTCGATTTCGGGACAGCTCAGTAAGGGACGTCATGCTTCAGGTGATCGGACATTTGGTGTATATTTCTGTGAGTGGCGTGTCTTTCGGTTATCCAAGGGGAACAAGTCCTATGTAGGATCACAAGTAATTTCGGTTCGGATAATTTTCTTTTGGTCGGAGGTTTATGAGGATTTTAAGAGAGGGTTAGACAAAGTGAATAGCGGCCATACGGGCTGTTCAAATCCGCTGCTGCTAAAAGTCGAAGCTTGGGATGAGAGGGTAATGGAATGTGATCTGTGAAGCCTGGTGAGCATAAAAAGATATTACAATATAGAGTCCAATAATGGAAAATAGCCGACATGATGCTAATAAAGTACAAAGGACAGGACAAACCAGCATCTATGCTGCTGGCTGGCGAGTCTGAAGTTTATTTATATAACGGAGCAAGAGGCCAGTATTGGTTGGTTGCTCGGGTTATTATTCGACCAAAAGGTGTAAAGTCGGTGCAATAGAGTATTCATGCAAATATTTAGTACAGTATAAAAACTGACCAATTCAGTAGAGAGTAAGGGGATAGCTGATGGCTCAGTTGGTAGAGACTGCTTCAACGTTTGTTAGACAGTAAGTGGTTGTGTGGTGCTCAGTATTCGCACACTCAAATTGAATTTTCTAAAGCTACTACGTGTCCTTGATGGGCCAAAAGAGACAGTCAATTGAGCTCAGAATACCAGTTCAAACGTTTTAGCCCCATCTAGGCATCCGGGGATCCCAGCGGTGCTACGAAAGAATTCTACCGGAATTTTTTCTCCAGAAGTGTGATTGCTTCAGTGGACAACGAAATCTTTTGAGCTGCGAAAATATGGACGTAGATTGGGGTGGTCTTGGTTCGAGCACATACGCAACAAAATGCAGCACTATGGCTCAAAAAGGTTTCATTTCACTCGCAAAGGTTTTTCAGCTTAGAGCACTGTGAGGGACAGTAAACACCGGTTGTATTCTCTAGCCCTGTGAGAGTTCCGTCAAAAGGCTCCGCTGTACATAGATGGCGTGATAAGAGGAAAGCCTATATACAAGGATCACAGGTAACAGAACGTACGAGATAATGGGCAAGGACTAGTTTGACTGGAAATTGCTAGGTCAGCTAAACGGTTCCATGACTAGGGGTTACCAGGCCCCGAATCAGTGTCCAATCAATATGGGGCGCATGGTAATAAGCTCGCAGGCGCTAGTTTTGAATGCTATTATTGAGGGGTAATGAATTATTTTTGTATATACACGACCATTCATGGGGGTTGCAGGGAGGAACGCGTGGGTTATATTCAGTTGATAAAGATGACTTATGGCGGTGTAACCCCAACTAAGGCGAGTTTTGCAACAGATTTGCACGCCGTCTTAAACCATGGGCGTTGCTTGGTTTCATCAAGCTGCTCCGTGCATTGTTTAACAAGAAAAGTACAGCCTTGCCGCACATGTGTTCACAGGGCTGCCCGATAAGTGACAACCGGGAACAGTCCAACCCAGCGGATACAAACAGACAACAGCAGTGCTCTTTTATGTATTTTCTGAATTAAAGTCCAAGCTCAGAGTCACAAGCAATGAACAAAGCACCCGTGCTACAGAAAGAATGATGAGCACACGACCGTGCTATTGTGCAGTGCAACAGGGTAACCGCCCCGCAGGGCGTACCCAACCACCATCCATCCTTCATATGCACGCTATCAGATCTGCAGGGTGGCAGGCCACCAACCAGCCATAATCCCAACTTGTGAACTAGCAAAGAACTCCAGCTACCAGGTATTTTACCCGGTTGGAGGGAGAGCCAGGCCAGCTAAACGGCTTAGTTAGTTCGACCAAATAAATGGTGAACAGCCGCTGGAACAGGCGGGCTGTGGAGCGGGAAAATGGAACAGAAGCCAGCATGGGGGAGTAGAAATAGAATATAGGTGGCAAGAACATGTGTGCAGAATGCCGAAACGACGACGAGGGGTTAGTTTGAGCTACCATTTCAAGCAGAGGCACACCATAAAGTTGTATGTGTGGCTGATGGACCGTGGATGCATGAAATAATTTTATTTTCTTAGCATCGCTTGGGCGACTATTTTTGTGGGGGTATAATGCGCTCTCATGAATAAAGAACTCTGCCTTTGGTTTGGTTTATGTTAGTTAGAGCTACACGAAACGAAGCATCAGACACTAACGGAGATGACTAAGTGATCCAGGGTTGGAACCTGGCTAGAAGGAGCCGGTACTAATTATCTGTGGAAAAAACTGGGTCATTAATACAACACACTCAAATCAAACAGGCATTCAGAAGTTAAATGTTGCTTGAAGCAGATCGACTAGATATTAGGATATCAGAATCATCATTTTGTCTAATAGTCCTACCGTCTCTAAACTCAAATATGCTTTGGACCCAATTAGTAGAGAAGATCCGGGGTAGTTGGATGAAAAGTAGGGTGGCAGCAGGTTCACAAGTAAGGAAGTTATCCACAGACTGCAAAAAATATGACGGTGTGAAATACACTCATTTGTATACTAATTTATTTTTGACGGCAGATTTACCTGGGACCCCGCCTAATCTCTCGTATGCGACTGTGTGTTAGTTCAAGGAAGGAACGTAGTAAACTAAGAAGTGGGTGATTTCTGGAGAGCGCACTAAGCGCTTCTGATGCATAGAGGTTTACTTATGCGGTGGGTTGTGTTATGATCCATCTTGAGGGACAACAGCTGGGCCAAG